TCTCAATTTCCCTCGTTTATTCTGCCGCCTCGTCCCTTTCTCCAGCTGTTTCCCATCTCAGGAAACACTGAAACACATATCTAAGTCTCAAATGTCTGCCATTCCTTCCAACGTTCCATCACAAATCATTATCCTTATCCCATCCAAATGCTATAGAGTCGTAATGGCTTGGCCCTTTCCTCTGATAATTCCCCCACCCCTGTTTTGCTTGTTAGTCATAACTACAGGTTAATCACATGTCATATTTCACACCTTGACTCATATGAATAACTCCTTGAAAATGGCCAATGGGGTCATTTTATATCCTAACTTTTCCTAAATCACTATCTCGACCAACCTGTGTCATACCTGTACCCCCACACCATTCACCATAAAAATTTGGAAAACTTGCCCAAACGGTGTGACCTCTGAACAGATAAACACGCAAATAGCCAGACAATCTCACTTACAATATATTAAGGGAGTACCCGGCCTTCTCCTGATCTGTCTACCTCCCATCTGTCTATCAATTTATCCATCCCTCTATCTATCTATCCAACTATTCATCTACTTCTCCATCTATCTACCTCTCTATTTATCCATCTATCTTTTAATCCATTCATTCGTCTATCCATTTATTTACCCATCTATCCCTCCAAATCTCTATCACTCTACCTATTTATCTCTCTGTCCATCCATCTATCTATTAATCCGTCAATACATCCATCTGTCTATCCCTTCATCCATTAATTTATCCATTTAACTATTTATTAATCCAAACGTTGATCAATATATTCATCCATTTACCATAGTATCCATCCATCAATACATCCATTAATTTATCCACCCATTTATACATTCATCTATCCATCCACCTTTACATCCATTTATCCATCCACCTTTACATCCATTAATCCATCTATCTGTAAATCTATCCAAATTAAATCTATTCATCTATCTGTAAGTCTATCCATCTATCGGTGCATCCATCTATACTTCTATCCATCAATCTATCAATCCATCCATCTATCAATTAATCCACTCTACTATCAGTCTATCCCTCCATCTCTCAATCTATCCATTCATCTATCAATCTATTCATTCATCTAGTAATCTATCCATCAATCTAAGTATCAAACTACCCATTTATCTATCCATCTGTCAATCTATCTATCCATCTATCCATTCATTTATCTATCCATCCATCTATTCCATCTATCCATCTTTATATACATCTATGAATCCATTTCTCTATCCATCCCTCCATCTATCCATCAATTCTTCTATAAATCTTTATATGATTCTAAGTAGCTATATATCCATTTATCCATGTATCAACTTATCTATGCATCAAGTCTACTCTCTGTATCTATCTCTGTGTCTGTCTCTTCGAGTCACTGTCTCTGTGTATACTACTCTCTCTCTCTCTCTCTCTCTCTCTCTCTCTCTCTCTCTCTCTCTCTCTCTCTCTCTCTCTCTCTCTCTCTCTCTGTTTGTCTTTGTCTTGGTCTCTCGTAAGTGATCGTAAAAGATTAAATGATCTTGTGTTTCTTCACCCTCTAGATGGTAGAAGATATATGCGCAGAATGGGAAAAATACACAATAAAATTCATAATAGTCACAATGCTGTTGTCATAAATGACATTATAATATATATATATATATATATATATATATATATATATATATATATATATATATATATATATATATATATATATATATATATATATATATATATATATATATATATATATATATATATATATATATATATATATATAAATATATATATATATGTCGTACCTAGTAGCCAGAACGCACTTCTCAGCCTACTATGCAAGGCCCGATTTGCCTAATAAGCCAAGTTTTCTTGAATTAATATATTTTCTCTAATTTTTTTCTTATGAAATGATAAAGCTACCCATTTCATTATGTATGAGGTAAATTTTTTTATTGGAGTTAAAATTAACGTAGATATATGACCAAACCTAACCAACCCTACCTAACCTAACCTAACCTATCTTTATAGGTTAGGTTAGGTTAGGTAGCCGAAAAAGGTTAGGTTAGGTTAGGTAGGTTAGGTAGTCGAAAAACAATTAATTCATGAAAACTTGGCTTATTAGGTAAATCGGGCCTTGCATAGTAGGCTGAGAAGTGCGTTCTGGCTACTAGGTACGACATATATATATATATATATATATATATATATATATATATATATATATATATATATATATATATATATATATATATATATATATATATATATATATATATATATATATATATATATATGTATGATACATTTAACCTATATCTTGCTTTTATATTCGTTTTGGGTGAGGTGACACAAAAGTTTTGAGTGAGGTGGGGTATTGGGTGAGGTGGGTACATACGAATGAAAGTAATTGCAGAGGGCCTATCGGCCCATACGGGGTCTTGAAGTGGGTAGAATGTAGTTATGCATTAATTGACTGTTGATTGCTGGTGTTGACTTTTTTGATGTGTAGTGCCTCGCTGACGTTGAGCCTCCTGCCATCGCTGTATTTATCGATGATTTCTGTGTTGCTTGTTAAGACTTCTCTGGTGATGGTTTCGTTGTGGGAAGAGATTATATGTTCCTTAATGGAGCCCTGTTGTTTATGCATCGTTAATCGCCAGGAAAGGGACGTTGTCGTCTTGCCTATATACTGAGTTCTTTGGGGCTTACAGTCCCCAAGTGGGCATTTGAAAGCACAGACGACGTTGGTTTCCTTCAAGGCGTTCTGTTTGGTGTCTGGGGAGTTTTTCATGAGTAGGTTGGCCGTTTTTATGGTTTTATAGTAAATGGTCAATTGTATTTTCTGATTTTTGTCTGTGGGGATAACGTTCCTATTAACAATATCTTCCAGGACTATTTTAGATGTCTATGGAGATCACAATTAATATTTCAGATTTCTTGAAATTTTAATAGTGGGGGGGGGCTGATGTTTATATATGTTAAAGTGTCTATATATACCAGACAGGGGTTGGTATATACAGACACTTCATATACCAGATAGAGTTTGGTATATGAAGTGTCATATATACCGAAGATATATATATGAAGATATATATATATATTTGTGTGTCATATATATGAAGAGGGAAACAGTTAAGGAACTTTGGCCTCTCTATCCAGGGGTCGAACCCGACCCACATCTCTCTCGAGCCTTGGGGCGAGAGCACTACTAACACACCACAGAGACTATCAACCATTATATTCCTCCCTCTAACCACAGCCTCCTCCATCCACATCTCCCACCGTGCCAGCATCCCTCTCCCAATAACCAAGTAATGCACCAGAATGTCTATTTACTGTCGTTCGTTCCCCTGTAGACTCTCTACCTACAAAAAATAACACTTGGACTGTTCTGTGGGGCGATGGCCTCGCTTCCTGCAGGCTCGGTGTTCGATCCCCCATTGGTTTATGTGACTGAGCACCTATCTTTTACTCACCATTCCTTCCTCCAGCAAACTACCCACCACCCACACAAATCTAACACAGCCTTGGCCCCCCACGGCAAGCAGACTTGGCCCCCCACGGCAAGCAGACTTGGTATCCACGGCAAGCAGACTTGGTATCCACGGCAAGCAGACTTGGTGCCCACGGCAAGCAGACTTGGTGCCCACGGCAAGCAGACTTGGTGCCCACGGCAAGCAGACTTGGTCCCCACAGCAAGCAGACTTGGTCCCCACAGCAAGCAGACTTGGTCTCCACAGCAAGCAGCCTTGGTCCCCACAGCAAGCAGCCTTGGTCTCCACAGCAAGCAGACTTGGTCCCCACAGCAAGCAGACTTGGTCCCCACAGCAAGCAGACTTGGTCCCCACAGCAAGCAGCCTTCGTCCCCACAGCAAGCAGCCTTGGTCTCCACAGCAAGCAGACTTGGTCCCCACAGCAAGCAGACTTGGTCCCCACAGCAAGCAGACTTGGTCCCCACAGCAAGCAGACTTGGTCCCCACAGCAAGCAGCCTTGGTCTCCACAGCAAGCAGACTTGGTCTCCACAGCAAGCAGCCTTGGTCCCCACAGCAAGCAGCCTTGGTCTCCACAGCAAGCAGCCTTGGTCCCCACAGCAAGCAGACTTGGTCCCCACGGCAAGCAGCCTTGGTCCCCACAGCAAGCAGACTAGCTGTGTTTTACCTCAGCACGCCCGCGCTGCGGACAACCAATCAATCACCTTCGACATGGCACTAATTAAACTCATCAGACCTAAGCCACGACGCTAAATCCTCGACGGGTGGTGCTGAGCGACTAAGAATTGAACCAATCAGCCAGTGTTGTGTGGGTGGAGAGCGGGTGTTGGGAGGACGGGTAGAGGCTGTGGGTAGGGTGGACGGGTAGAGGCAGTGGGTAGGGTGGACGGGTAGAGGCAGTGGATAGGGTGTACGGGTAGAGGCAGTGGGTAGGGTGGACGGGTAGAGGCAGTGGGTAGGGTGTACGGGTAGAGGCAGTGGGTAGGGTGGACGGGTAGAGGCAGTGGGTAGGGTGTACGGGTAGAGGCAGTGGGTAGGTTGGACGGGTAGAGGCAGTGGGTAGG